CTTCCTTCCTTCCTTCCTTCCTTTGTAAATAAGCATGGCTCTTATCACAATCTCATTTGCTCTCCTTTCAGCACCTTCTACTACTTTTTATATAACAGAAAATTATAGGAGAAAGGGAAAAAAAGGATGGTCCATCTCAGAGATGGGCAATCTTGAGAGTATTTCTTTAAAGTGTGTTTATGTATTTGTACTACAGCTGCTCATTTCATAACACAACCATACCAGATTGTCACACAAATTTCTTCTATTTCTAGTTAGAGCACTTGCTGTGTTTTCTGTGTGATTTCGCTGCACTAAACTGCTGTCCCTCATCTTTATGCTGTTATCCATGTACTCCTTTACCTACACATCACAACACAAGCCCACAATTTGTCCCTTGGCAGAGGAGCAAAAGCAACCTGATTTTTTTAAAAAAAACTGTGTAAGATCGCAGATGGATCCCTCTAGCTAGAGAATGGAAGCAAAATAACAATGCTGGAATAATGTGCATTTCCCCAAGTCTTTTGTGAAAGAGTCACACAGGAAACATATATATACTGCCTTTGAGGAAGGGACACAAGGAGGAAGCTCCTCTGTTCACCAAATGTGTTGTCCTTCACTTTGCTAAAAAAAAAGTGATAGATGGATTCAACACACTTTTCACGGCTAAGAATAGCAATGGAAACTTATGAATCCATGCATACACTGGTAACACAAAACAGAGTTTCAAGAACCTCTAGATCAGTGGTCCCCAACCTTGGGCCTCCAGATGTTCTTGGACTTCAGCCTCCAGAAATCCTGGCCAGCAGAGGTGGTGGTGAAGGCTTCTGGGAGTTGGAGTCCAAGAACATCTGGAGGCCCAAGGTTGGAGACCACTGCTCTAGATGGACTGCCACTCTATAGCTCTTTGAGTGCTGAGATGTTAAGATACATCAGATCCTGAAGTGGATCTGACTCCTAAAGTGATTGTCTGTGACACTCTTTAAAAGGAACAAAGCAGTTTGCAAAGCCACCCATGAGGAAAACATTATCAGAACATCTCACTCAAGTTTGGTCTTGCTGCATTCCCTCACTCCAGGACCAACAAAGCACAGAGAAAACTGGATGATAGTATGGAATCCCTCAAGACAGGCTCTGTGTCATTTGGATCCTGAAAAGAAGGCCTAGATATTCCATACACAGCAGTCCAATTCAACATGATGTTAACACCCATTTGATTTTTTCCCGTTGTATACTTTTTTGTCGTTCATGATTTCTTAAAACATCCTGATAGGAGTAACAGTCCAGAGCAACATTCCCTCTAATGTTCAGCCTTGGGCACGATTCCCCTCCCCCCCCTTGCAGGGTTCCTGTGTGACCAGAACCAAAGGGGCTGAAATTGATAGCTGTCAGTGCATGGAGAAGGAGTATCTCTGCACAGGGGGAGGCAAAAATCACACACACTCACACAGGTGCATAACTTAGAGGGAACCTCAGTCCAGAGCATGAAAAAGTTGGACGATGGGTCCAAAAAAATCCTCCAGCTAGCCTAGCTAAGAGGGAACCTCAGTCCAGAGCATGAAAAATCCTCCAGCTAGCCTAGCTGTCAGCTAGGCTGGTCATTCTGGGAGCTATCATCTTAAAAATAACAACAACAACAACAACAAAACCTTTTACAAGTTCTGGCTGTATCCTGGCTGCTTCATCATTCCATAATTCGAGAGATGTTGGGAGAGAGGGCCAATATTGAAAATTTTAATCAGATAGTGAATTTCCTCTATCTTGTATCATTTATGTCCACCACTGCATAACTTAGTTCTCTTCCACCTGACAGATTGAAAGCTCATTATATGTGCTTCCACATATCAAAACAGATCTTGAAAGTATGTACAACTAATATTCCCCAAGAGTCCACATTTATATCGGCTTAGGAGCTTATGTTAAAAGTTCTGCTTTGGTGCCCTGTGACGGTTTGAACCACCTGCCCACAAGAATTCTTTGACAATTCCTTAAGTAGCAAGTGCTCGATTAAGGCTAGTGGGGCTGTGCTGGCTGGGGGAATCTGGGATATCAGTTTTTTTTTTAAAGTAACTTCCGTAAGTTATGCAGGAGTTTTTTTTCTCGTATTTTTAAACTGGGTCCTGTGGAAATGTGTGAATCCTGCTCCTGAAGGGGATGTGCTGAACCAATGTTCAACTACTACCATGGAATGGGCATGCTTAGACCAGCCTAAAGCTCAGTCTGTCTTTCTGGTTAGAGTGTGGTTACTGTTACAATACTATATCCCTTACCTGAGAGTAGACATTACTAAATTCCATAGGCTTGCATAGGCAATTATTGTTTTCCTATGTGTATTAGTATAGCCTCTAATTCATAAGGTCACCATAAGTTGGAAATGACTTGATGGCGCATGACAAAAAAAGGAGTGAAGAGAAATGACACTGGTATTAGACTAGACAGGTATCAGGCTGCGGAGCCAGAGGTTGGGAGTTCGATTCCTCACCTGTGCCTCTTGGGAGATGAGCCAGCCTATGTGGCCTTGGGGAAGCTGCACAGTCCCAGGGCATCCCCAGAAGAAAGGAATGGTCAACCACTTCTAAGTAATCTTTGCCTAGAAAGCCCTGGAAAGGGTGTCCATAAGTCAGAATTAACTTGACAGCACACAATCATCATCATCATGAATGTTTGTGTCTTCAGTTTCTCCTCAAAAGCTCTTGGGACATCTCTTGGGACATCTGCCATGTTTTGTCAGTTTTGCAATCTCATCCTTATCTGGATTGTGGGTCATTTATTAGCTTTTAATGAGATTTCCTTGCCAACAACACACCCCAAAACTGGCCACTGACTTGAACCTCCCTTTCAGCTTTGGCATAATTGCTATGCATTGATTGTGTATGTTTATCCTCACATGAACCCCATCCCCCATGACAGGACCAAAGGCTTTTGTTCTGCTTGTGTCTCCAAAAAAGCACATTTGCACTTTCCTTGCCTTTATTGATCAAATGCATTTAGTATCAAGGCATGGATGTGAAATACAGAGATATTCCTGTTTCTGTTAGGAGAATCAAAGCTATCCCTCTAAGAATTTGCTTGTCCCTTCTTTCTTTTTCCCCTAAATAATTTTGGTGCTGGTGCTGTGAATATGTAGTTAATTATTGACAGCTTTTTAAATAATCCTGATTCTTTGATAAGGGAATTCTTTGCTTTCCTGTTATATGCCCATATTTGGACGTGATATTTCCTTGTGGCAGCTTTAGACCCACTCTCTGACATTTTAAAAGAAATACGCACCATGCAAGGAACATCTTAACTATTTTTTCCACCAAGTTTGCCTAGAAATCTCCTAGTTTTTGCATGCTTGTACATGAATTGTACTTTCAGCCTTTTGCGTTACCTCAGTGAAAATTGTGTTTGCTTTTTAAGCAAGGTCACTGGTCAGCTGAGCAGCTTTCTAACAGCTGGAACCCTGCATGCTTTGCTAGTGGTATTCTGCCTTTTTAGGACTGTTCTGGGAGCTTCCTAAAAGAAAAGGCTCCTTCGTTTGGTTTTCTTTTCTTCCTTCTCATATGGCTCTGAAGGATCTGAAGGTAACCTAGCAAAATACCTCTCCTCACCGCAGGTTCTGAAATGAAATGCTAAACTGAATTGCTGCAGTGCCAATGGAAATGATAGACGGTAGCAGAAAGACTGTTGGCAATAGCCCTTAATGAGTTTGCATTAACTTCTCATGCCACTGGAGAGAAATTAGCCTAGTTTCATAATGCCATTTTGAAATGAATGTTACCTACACTTATTCTGCATGAATGTTTCGCACACTTGCTCTTAGCATGCCTGGGTATGTCTGCTCAGAAGCAAAAATACAGTCTTGTATTTGTTTACTTCCGTTTAGGGAGTCTGACTCCTAAGAAATTTATGATTTTCGCTACAGGCACTGAAATGATTTTAGTGAAATTTAATGTTACCCAGTCTTGTGCATGCTTAACTTGAAAGTAACCCCCCCTTAAACGTTAACAGGTGCAATTCTGGGTAAACATGTACAAGAATGCCATATTTGTTAACATAATGTTAAAATATATGACTCAAAAGTTGTCAGTCTTAAATTCAAATGTCTGGAAGTTGATTTAACTTAAAGGATAGCTACATGTCTCTGTAAATATTCTGGCCTTTAGAATCTGGTTTTAAACAGTGTCATTGCATCATTATTGAAAAGGAAAGAGAAAGAAACAACAACTGGGCTTCAGTTATTCTACATTTTATGTGAATACTTATTCTATTTTTATTATTTTCATTTCTAGGTGCATTCCTATTTTGTAGGAGGCACTTCATGTTCATACACATCTGTAAAAAGTACCCTTGTTCTTTGTGCTCAGGTGATGTTTGCCTAGAGATTAAAGTAAAGCTTTCCTGGTATTATTCTATTGACATATTGTTGAGCAGCTCTGTACAGAAAGTTGTTTCTACTGATGTACATTTATGGACTCTAATATGGTGGTTACCAACGAGAGAACATCCCAGGAACCTCTGTTGATATTTTGCAAAATCATTGACTGTTATGGAGGAAAGTTCCCATGTTACGGCAAAGATAAGGATGTGGCAGTGTGCACAGGTAGATGGGTAGATGTGTTCTATGGCATTCTAACTTTAAAAATAGAGGTGAGGACCCTGTTGAATCAAACTACTTGAAGAATGGGCTGCAGTGCATGCTGTTTGACATTTTTGGCACTCATACATCAAAGCATCCAGCAGCCTCTTGGGGAACCAGAGGTCACATGTATTGACTTCATTCACCTCTTGCATCAGGCAGTCCTGTACTACTGCACTGGCTTCTTGTTCCACCAGCATTCAGCAGGATCTTGGCTATGTTCATTTCTGATTACAAAATGGCGCTTGTTTCCAATAAATGTGTGAGACATCAGGGCAATTGTATTTTGTTGCTGCAGTTGTGATCTTGCTATTGTTAAAGTCTATTGAAAATGCAAAATAGACTGATTTTATAATCAAGGTAGGTAGTTTTTCCTTTCTTTTTCTCTATCATAGCAGAAATACAGAAGCAGTTGTAAAGCATGGGGAACTGTGGGGAGAAGAGAAATGTTATGGATCCATTTCACAGTATAACTGCAACATGTTCAGATTCTAAAGTTAATTGTACTGTTGGGAGGGGGGGCTCAAAATGGGTACCAAAATCAGGTGGAGACTTCTGCTATTTAATAAGGTCACAGCTTTCTAAAGTAAATAAATCTGTAAAAAATATGGTTATACCACAAAAGGAACGTAGTTATCCTTACTAGGTTTTACTACAGGCTAGTGATGCATAATATTCAATTAGTCAAAGTATAACATAAGGTAACTTTTAATGTCTCCCCTCACATTGATGTTTAGAATGTGTAAGTGTTACTGCAGCTAAATAAAATAAGGAGAACTTTGGAAAACCTTCAGCTAATTACTTGTTAGAAGTAAATCGCTAGATTGTGAATCGGTTGCCACAGATATAATCTCTACTCTACTTGATAGAAAAATCTTGATGACCTGCCGCTTCTGTCATTATTCTTTTGCATACACACTACATGAATTGTGTGTCGGGATATACTTCAGTGTAGGCAGTGTTTCTGAACTACTTATCACCTCAGTTTCCATTCAGCACGCGTCTCCTGAAAGGTTTTATTCCCTTTCTCTCTCAGCTGCCTCCCAATTTATTCCAAATTTCCTGCTCTACTGTGAATTGTTCCTTAGCTATGAAAAATGATCCTACAGAAATATGTGTCCTCAGAGCAGGAACTGTTACAGTCGGAAGAGGAAACATTGATTTAAAACTTGCCTGAAAGTGCTTACTGGATAAGGGCTGGAAGGATAATAATTTCATTCCATGCAGATAGTGAATATCTAATAGCCTTGGTACTAAAAATGGATTCCTCTGGTGAAGTGAGTAACTTATACCTAAAGAAGAAACATAAAGAGATATTGCTGTTGAAATATCTAGTTTTCTATTGTTTAACTTGGATTTTCCCCTCAATGTTTTTTAAGGACAACTACGCATATTTTTTTCATTGATGGCTTGACCTGTGTGGATTCAACAGAATTCTTCATTATGGAGAATACAGATGGCATGGATACAGTACCTAATCGTGAGACAAACCTCTTTTATTGTTAAGCAATTAAAGCAAATGTTTTGTTGAAAATGTTGTAAATAACTTGTGCTTTTAATGCTAGTGTTTTAAAAATATCAGTGTCTCCTTGAATAAAATTTCTGAAATTGAATCAATTTTTTTTTCCAAATCTGTGTCCACAGATTTTGGAAGAAATTAAAGAGAAATGCATGCTTTTGACTTTAATGGCTACAATGACAATTTGATGGTGATCACTACTAAGTGTTATAAAATTAGAAGAATCAGGGACTTTTGAGTATTCATGGATTAAGGGACTCCTCTGGTCAGATTTCATTTTCTTCCATTGGTTCTTGTAGAAAAATTGCATCTTAATAATAATGTTTTGTACACAGCTTAAAAGTGATTAGTTATTTAGAATTCATGTTTCTAATGTAGAACTACTTTGCAATGTCAAAGTAAGGCAGAGTAACTTCATGCCTTTTGTGGTGTGATTGTAAAATTTTTAGTTTTTTTTATAGCTACTGGAGATGGCTTTACTAAATGCTGAATGATGATGATGATGATAAATAAATAAATAAATAAATAAATAAAACAAGCACTCCAAATCAATGTGATGAAAGCTAAGTTCCAAGGAATTAGAGCTAACAGCATACGTTGACTCTGCCAAGAAGAATATGAAACTGTGTCACACCTCATCTGTGAATGTCTAAAAATTGCACAAACAGATTACAAAATGAGACATGATAGAGTGCCAAAATTAGTGCACTGGTCATTATGCAAAAATTATAACTTGCCGGCCTCCAAAAATGTGTGGGAACATCAGGTAGAGAAGGTGTCAAAAAATGAGGAAGTCAAGATCTTGTGGGATTTCGGATCCAAACTGATAGACACCTTGAACATAACACACCAGATATAGTAGTAATATAACAAAGAAATGTCCGGATCATTGACATTGCAATTCTGGAGGATGCCAGAGTTAAAAAGTAAAGAATTGGAAAAACTAACAAAATACAGAGACCTGGCAATTGAAACATCTTGCTTGCAGATGAAACATACTGTATTTCAGTGTTCCCCATAGTCATCAGGGCTTTGGGAACAATATCAAGAAATTTCAGAACTATAAGCAGTTGCAGATCTCAGAAATAACATCATCAGTGCTACAAAAAAGGGCAATATTAGGAACAGCATACATACTGTGCTGATATTTAACAGATAGGATTTTGGTTAAAACTTGTATGTATCTGTTATATAATACCAGTCAATGTTTTTATAATGTTGACTTTGCCTGGTGTTTTTTGCATGATGATGATGATGGTGATATAATCTTAGAACTACAAAGCTGGAAGGAACCCTATGGATCATCGTGTCCAGCCTTAGTCAGCGAGACACAGTGGGGAAACAAATTCTCAACCCAATACCTAAACCCAACGAGCAAATATCACATAACTCAAATGCTGCCTTGTGCTATATCTAACAGGTGATGATGCAATAAATGGGAAGAGAATGTGTTTCATACCACAAGTCAGTAGCTTGTAGCATTCAGATCTTGTAAGAATACTAAAAGTTAATTCCGAGAAACAGGAAAGCAAAGCATAACTATCAGTTGTAACTGTAAAGTTAGTTACACGGGGGGTGGGACTATAACTGTGACTAATTTTTAAAGTAACTTTCTACATCATGTAATGATGGATTATTAGACTCTACTTAAGACATTTTAGTCTGTCCTACCAATCCAGAGATGCCAGATTCTGGGGACAGAGTATATGTTTTGTAGACATATCTAGCTACAGAAGATTGTGATTCAGAGAGCTGGAAAACCCCTCTGCTAGAGATATGGGAGAGCTGCTGCCACTCAGAGGGTGCACAACTGAGCTATATGGGCCCAGTTTAGTCTCACAATCTAATGCAACATGGCAATGCTTTGTTGTTGTTGGTTTTAAATCATTTCTTCATTGAAGAATTGAATTAGTAAAAAAGAAATAACCAACAATCAGTCATGGGTTGCAATAGGAAGATATGCAAAGAAAGAAGAGAAAAAAGGAGGAGTAAAGGGATAATAATAATATTAGAACTGCAGATCTGAAAGGGACTCCATGGATCTTCGGGTCTAGCCCAAAGAGACACAGTGGGGAACTGAACTCCCAACCTTTGGCTCCATAGCCAGATGCCTAAGCCACTGAGCTATCACAGCAGGATAATGGCATTGCACCAGCAGGAATTTCTTTTCCTATTGTGAATAGTAGGTGTGGGACATCCCTATTCATATTGGACCAGCACTATCAGGAAAGCCCAGTTCTCCCAATATCATAATCCTGATCTGGGTCATATCCCCCTTCTGTTTACATGGACAGCCAATGGTGTGAATAACATTCCACCACATTTCGCCCAGAGTTAACAGATGTTTGCTTCCTCATTTGGGCTTAATGTCCTATTTTCATATTTGTATCTTGGAAAATATGCCCACATGCAAAAAGGGGGAGGGGCATGAATCTTGTTTATCTAATACTTCATTTTGTATCCTCTTCAGTTAAGAACATGCCAGTTTTTCAGGGCATTCTGCTGTCCTTCCTGGCATTAGTCCTTTAAAAAAAAAATCAGATAGGAAGATGCCATCTTGTGTACCCATAGAGGCATCTATTGTTAAAAAGAGCTAGGCTGACACCTACAAAACAATTTATCTAGTTGTTCTTTTTAGGACCAACCTTATGTACCAGCCTTGAAGCACTTGACATGGTTAGGAAGAATATATTAGGCAAATGGAACACGGTGGTGACAATTTATTATGTATTAGAATCGTATAGCTCATAAAATGATTCTCTGATGCAGGCTGCAAAAACTCTCATTTATATAATTACCCATTAGAATGATAATTTAGCAAATTCTTGATGATTTACAGTAGAACATTTATATGGCTACATCCCAGAAAACAAGATTATGCATTTTCCCATGCCTCTATTCGACTAATATCTCTCCAAGCTCACTCCACAGAGAAGCTGCAAGTGACAAACGGTGAGCCATGCGCTTTTTTTCCATTTCTGTCCTGTGGATAGAGGCTCACCATGCAGTGATTTAGTGTAACTGCCTTGCAGTTGTGCCTAGAGCTACAGGCAACATTTTAATAAAATTTTATGAATACTGAAATGGGCTGATTTTCTTCAGTGCTGGAGTGGTTTTGTGCTAATACAAATAAGGGTGGGAGGGAGGCAGAAGGATCACGTCAGCATAGCACTTTGGTCTCTCCTTAACTATTGATTTTCGCATCCTTACAACGTAGAGCCAGAGCCATTGGAAACAATGGCTTTGCTTACTATTTTAATTTTTATAATCTTAATATATTGATATTTCCAAACTATTAATTTTTCTGCACTAGTTCTATGTTGGAGAAAAACAATAAATTCTATGGGTCTCCATTTATAGATAGATGGGTGCATAGGGCAATAAATCTACGCAACATTAAAACAAGTCCTTTTCCCTTCCATCCCTCAGTTTCTTTATTGAGTGTTCACAAGGTCATACAGTAGCTTTTCTGGAGCATAGTATTGAATTCTGGAGCATAGTGTCCATCATTCTCTCCAGAATGAGAATGAGGGATAAACAAATGTATAGGAAAAACCACTCTTCTATTCTGGGTCATGGTGAGTACAGAACCAACTTTTATATTAGACAGAATGAGGCAGCCACTTTGATGGCAAATGCTGAATAGCAACAATGGCAATCTCTTGGCTGTTTCTCCTGAGCAACCTGGTCATTCCCCTCTATTGGAAAACATATATGGGCCAATGTCATATTCCATTCTCCTATTCTGTCTTTAGACATGCTGAACCAATGAAATTATATTGCCAGTATTCATATGACACTCCACTCTATTGATTGTTATTGGTGAAAGAAGGAATTTGATCATTGATTCTGTTAGCAGAGCACAAAGCAGAAAAACACAAAAACATGACGAGGTGTAACACAGTCTCACCAGCCCTTCCTTATCACACAAATCTAGCCTTTTCTGTAGTGAAAAATCATTACTATGTATGCCTCTTAAGCAGAAAGAAGTAAAATGCCTCAAGAGTTACTTATTACAGCTAATTTTAGATTATAATTGTCTGTTTATTTCCCCCCATCTTTTTTTCTTTCAGGAGATGACTGGGCATCAAAAACAGAGGATAAAGATCCACCCCCAAGCCCTTATTCTGTTGAAACACCTTACGGCTTCCATTTAGATCTTGACTTCTTGAAGTATGTAGATGACATTGAAAAAGGCAATACCATCAAGAAGATTCCAATTCACAGGAAAGCGAAGCACCCCAAATTCAGTACACTGCCTCGGAACTTCAGTCTCCCAGAAAGTGGATCTAAAGCCTACTCATCTTCTTCAAATAAGAACTTCCTCACACAGAGAAAGGCCTCCTTAGGTGCAGAAGAAAGCAACATTCCCATCACATCTCCTGATTCATCACCTCTTTCACCCCTTCAGAATGAGCCAAGCTATAGAAGGAAAGCTTTCTTAAAAGAGACTGTCAGGCAAGGTGGCCCTGTGCACCTTGAAGAGGAGACTGGCAATGGCAGAGGGAGACCTCAGCTTTTGAGGGCATCCAGTATGCCTGCCACACTTCCACCAACCCCCAACTTGGAAGAAGTACCCTTGGCATTTCTTCAGTCCTCTGATCAAAAGGGCTTAGAATTTGAATTCGGTCCTGTAAAAGAATCATTGGCATTAGATAGCTTCAAAGCAACTTCACCAACGGCTCCTGATAACCTGAGAAATGTAAAACAACAAATCAATAAGACAATCTATGAAAACAAGAGGGAGAAGGCTCAGCTTGTGCTGGACCAGAAACAGATAGTGAGGGAGCGAATGCAACTCAGTTCTTCATGGGAAGGCCAACCTCTAATATCTCAAGAACTGCTTGTGGTTGCTGAGAGTGGAGAAGAAGAACAGGATGCAGGAGAGGCAAATATTTGCCCCATATCAGATCAGAGTTGGCCAACCTCATCTAGGGCCTTAGAATGCAAGCCTGAAAACCAGATCCAGAAAGAAATTGAACTCAATATATGTGAGACTGTTACAGAATTACTAAAGGAGGAAGAAGTTACAAGTCCTACCTTCAGAGAGATAGAAGGAAACTTAGATTTGGAGGCTTTGCCCTCTGAAGAACCTAAAAAGATCATAGCTTTAAAGCAGCATATTGCCATTCTGGAAGAGGAGCTGAATAACAAAACAGAGGAACTTGAGCAGATCCGAGTAGTATTGAAACAGCAAGATAAAGAAATCAAGGCAAAAGAGAAAAGCATTGAAATGCTGGCAAACTCTAAAGCTCAGCTGGAAGAGAAACTCTGTGGGAAGAGCATCAAAGAAATTAAGCCATGCATGCAGGCAAAAAACGTCCTCCGATACCATGATGCTGCTGTGAATACTGAACTTGTACATGACAAGATAGCCAAGGAGGCTTATGACAAAGGGGTCAATGTAAGTATTACTCTGCCTGTGGAGTCTGTAGGTTGTGATGCTTCTGAAGCTGATAATAAGAATCTGCAGGCCAAGGAAGTAAATAGAAAGCTAGTCCATGGATCTCCTGAGATGTCAAGCATTCCTGTTGGTTTTCAAGAGAAAGACAGTCTGTCTTTTCAAAGACAGAAAGAAGTGGAAGAGGAATGCTGCGTTCTGGACCAAGGCCACCATGAGCTGAAGATTAATGAATATGTTGATAATGGCAACAATCATGTATACAGCTGCGATGTACAGTTCTCTGCTATGACAGAGGACAACAGCTCAGGTGTTGAGGCTGTTGATTCAAACGCAGGAGGAAAGCAAGATCTGGATGAGGAAGCAGGCCACCCGGAGCCAACAAAATCTATGGATCCTACTGTGGGCCAATACGTTAAAAAGATCCAGGACCTTTTACAAGAGCAGTGGATGTGTCTAGAACATGGGTATCCTGAACTAGCCAGTGCCATTAAGCAACCTGCCTCAAAGCTCAGCTCAATCCAGAACCAGCTTGTGAACTCTTTGAATTTACTGCTTTCTGCGTACTCGACGCCGACACCAACAGACAAGGAGAATTCCAACACACAGTATCAACAGTTGGGTAAATAGTATTGGCAAAGCCAGCCTTCCTTAACACACTTACATTAGTCAAGAGTTGCATTACTTGGGAAGGTTTTCAATGAAATAAAAATGTTCTTTGCTTCAAAAAATATATTAAAATTTAAAAAATGAGGTAATTTAAAATATGCTTGTGGAATTTCCATGCCATTGGGAAGTATTTGTTCCACAAAACAAAGCTGAACATAACAATTAGAAACATGAAGAATTACAAGTCAGGTGCTTTGTTATCTCTCATAGTGAAATCGTATCTAATAACACTTATAAATCCATAACATCATGTTAGCACAATTCATTTCACTTGCCTTCACTCTCAAGAAACTGGATATAAATGGAATTGGATGACAAGCAATTCTACAGTCTGCAATGATGATGTGCTTATTAAGATGCACAGGGATTCTGAGCATTAGCCTTCCCCGACTACAGCAAATAATAGCATTGCTCTGTCAGCATCATTCTTGTTCCTTTTCATCTCTCTACCGCTTACTGGGCATAATGCGGGTGAGACTGAAACAGGATCAAGAAAGAGCCTTTTTGTAGAATTTACAGTGGTGGGCAACATTGTGAATGCTGTGGCATTGCCACAGTTAATCAGCATCAGCTCAAGTGTAGGGCCATCCCTACCATTAGGCACGGTGAGGTCATGACTACAGGTGGGAAATAGGGAGGAGGTGGAATTTGCAGCAGTCTTTCAGCTGCCCCTTCTGAGTCCCCTGGCCAATCCCCTCTTTTGGAGGATACAGCTGCATGTGTCATGTGACCTATCCTGGACCCATCTAGCCATACCAGCCTGTTGCCCAATGGAGAATATTGCCCTATTGTCATTGCTGAAGTAAGAGTTAGCTTTAATTCCTTTACGCTTCTGCGTATGGAGTTGGTGACAGGTCACTTACATTGCCTATCTCCTATTCCAGTAACCTCACTCCTTCATATTATGGAAATTTCTGCCTTCCATAGTAACAATAGCAGCAACAATAATATGCTGTCAAGTCAATTTTGACTTATGGCAACACTTTTCAGGGTTTTCCAGGTAAAGAATACGCAGAAGTGGTTTACCATTCCCTTATGCAGGGGATACCCTGGGACTGTGCAGCTTGCCCAAGGCCACATAGTCTGGCTCTTCTTCCAGGAAGCATGGTGGGGAATCAAATTCCAACCTCTGGCTCTGCAGCCAGAGAGCTTGGAGAATATCTGGGTGGTATTGTTCTAAAGACTAATCATCACAGGAGTAGTTGCTCGGCACAGTATTCCAAAATAGTACAAAATACAGTAAATCTACCTAATAGAATCATGGGAAAATAAGAGGTATTGAGCTAAACTCTCAATGTGATGAAGCCAGAATAGCGATCATACATTCTCAGCACATGTTTCTCTGCAATTGGAAAACATTTAATGCAGCACAGATCCTATATTTCTATGTGATTGATCAGGTGTCCCATGGAAGAGATTAATACCTGTTACTGAAACCATGAAATCCCAACATGTTGACAGAATTAAAGGGAGAAAAACAAAGCAAAGCAAAACACGGAGAGAGTGAAAGAGAGAAAGCAAAGAACAAAAGGTTGTGGCACCTTAGAGCCTAAGAGATTTGATTTTAACATGAGCATTCATTAATCAAAATTCATTTCCTCAGACAGTGCCTCAGTCTAGACCAGTTCAGTCACTCAGACTGGATGTCCATCTGGAGAGTGAGTCTGGGAGTTATAAATAAACTTATCTTTATTTCCCCCTGAACCTCCAGTACCAGAAACATGCATTCCATATTGCACAAAATAGGCATTGATTAATTCTGATAAGTTATCTGATGTGGATCAGTGTTTCAGTTGTGTCACTCCACCTATCACAGCAGATGGCTGGGGCAGATGTTACCTGATCAGGCAAATATCAGGACTGCAAGTCTTGCTTTTGAAGAACAAAGACCAAGAGAGTAAAAAAAGTGAAAGAATCACAAAGGTGATTCCAAAAAGGCCTTAGCCATTTCAGTTGACTCCTGCTCCCTTCACTTGCACAGTGTAAGATCCCCCCCACATCTGCTTAGTTCTCCAGAGAGTCTACTCTTTCATTTCATCCTCCACATACCTTTATTGCATTCCTTTGCTCCATTGGCAGTACAGACCGCCATCCCTAATATTTCTAATGCTTGGGCTGTGAGCAATGTTGTGTAGACAAAACTGCACTATTAACAAGAGCAGCCTTGGGAGAAATCTGGAGATTTGCTGATCTGTGGAAGGTACAGGAAGCATCAGGAAGAGAAGACTTATTTGTGTAGAGGATGGAGAAGATCCGTAGAGGGAGAGGAATGAGTATCCTCAAAGACCAGAGAATGCCACATAACTGATGGTGAGACAAAAAGGAGGATCATGGGATCAGAACATTGGAAATGGCCTTTTAGGTCAGTGGTTCCCAACCTTGGGTCCCGATAATTCTTTGACTAAAACTCCTAGAAGTCTTCACTACCAGATGGGCTGGCCAGGATTTCTGGGAGTTGTCGTCCAAGAACATCTGGAGACTCAAGGTTGGGTCATCTGGTACAGTTTTGCCACTGGAAGAAATGCAGAACTGGAGCATCCCAAAAGGAAAGGAATAGAGAGGTCCTGAACAAGAGCACTCCCCGTTACATTTTAAATGTGATTCTAGAAAAAATGGGGGTAGCTTGAAAAGACGTTTCATGGAGATGAAAAACTAAACACATGTTGCCCAGAGTTTCTACATATTATATTCCTAGATGTAGTGGTTTGAAGGCTAAGTAGCACAAAAAGTGCTCTCCCTGTTTGACAGGATGCTACATGTGAAGGAATAGATTTGGGGGTTGTTCTTACTGTCTTACCAGCACTTTCAGTTACTATTACTAGAGCAAAATGATTCATAAAGTGAAACATTAGTTGATATTTTTAAATTTCAAACACATTTCAAATTTGAGGAAAACATTTCAAAATAAAAACACTCTTAAGTACCAAGAGTACTTTTAAAGTCAATTTAACTAGCAAAAATGTATACTCTTTTAGCCAGCAAAACCAATGATTGTGAATATTGTAAGAAATGATAATGATTTGGCTGAATTTTCTATATAAGTGTTATGTATTTCTTTCATTAAACTTATATAAGGAGTCAAGGTGAGGGACATACTGTAGCCAGAAAACCATAGAAGATCTTTCCCTGTATTACTGTGATTTCTTTTCCTCTCACCTTACTTGTTCCCAACTCCCAGTTTTGAACTGTTCCTGATGAGCTCTTTATTTTCAAGTGTTGCCATGAATTTACTTCTCTTATTTGTTTATACCCTATTCGTTCCCCCATCCCACCCCCAAATGTAGGCCACTCCTTTTGGTTTAAGTCTCAGTATTATGTTGGCTGAGACAGACATTTTTCAAAGCACTGTGAGATACAGGAAGCTGGACTAGGTTGGCCCTTGGCCTGATCCAGCAGGGCTCTTCCTATGTTCTTATATTCTTTCTTAATGACTGTGTGAAGATTTTAACATTTCCTTCCCATATTTGGATCCAAACCTAATGACTACACCACAACAACTGTAGGTGTCCTCATTTCACTGTCTCTCACCCTCATTAGGCTGTGGGAGAGAATGTCGTATAGCTCATGCAGAGCATCATAATAGAAATATTTGGAAAATACAGCACCTCCCAAACTATTATCATATGTAAGCACATCTGTCTAACTAGCAGAAGAGAACATTACTAGGAACTAGCTCTAGTGGTGTTTGCAGTAGTAACATGTTTTGTGCCTAGAATGTTACAGAGTGTCACCAGAGTCAGATTTTCATGCTGGTTAAAAAATTCTCCAGCGAAGGCAGGGGCTGCCCAAAGCATTTTTCACTCAAACATCTCTCTTTTCTTGCTATTCCACATTTAAATCCTTGATGCTGTGGAGCAACATCTGCACCTAAAGGTAATAAGTTAGTGTGGAGGTGGTAGCCCATGCATCCTACATAGCTCTGTCTTCCAGCAATTCACAAATGCTCATCATTTTGCCCATTGCCCACTTATGGCTTTCTCAAACAAACGTTGCAGCACAGTGGCTAATCCAGCACGTGTTGTGTGGACAGAGCAATCCTGGCAGGTGTGCCATGTCTGCTGGAACATGTGATCTGAACTGGCTCTTCCTGCTAAGTCAGATGGTTTTCTAGCCCACTGAGAGAAGGTGCCTGGATGAAAGGTCTGTCAGTCCAAACATCATCACTGCTAGGTCAAGAAGGCAGGAATGGTTAGGGGACAGCTTCTGTTGCTACTTCAACATTTTCCACTGATGAATGTTAGCCTCACTTAGACTGACTGGTAAGGCTAGGCCTGTATCATTTTATATGATTTATTTCCTGGTGTAAGGAATTCTTAGGTCCCATTCTTATGTTGCCACAATGGTGTAGTTGTTCTTTTTAAAAGTGCTTAGATAAAGCTGGTGCAAGACACAGCTGCCACAACCTATGTGTACACCTCAACATAACGAGGCTGTATGCGTGCATCACATCCTCTGCTTTCATATGGTTGTCTCATCTTTATAGAAGAGCATTTCTGACAAAGGTGGGAAGCATTTGCCCACCCAGAAGTATTTTTTCTAGCATGATAGTGCTTCTCTGGTGCCAAAAACAGGGAGGTGGGATTGGAGCTTTAAATGCTATTGTAACACTATTGTGCTTGCCATTTTGGGCTTTTAATACAATTATGATAATGTTCCTGTAGGACAAAGGATTGTAACATTCTTCATGTTTCTGTGTTTTTAATATTTCCATCAGAAATCTCTCCAAGCACAAGTCTTAAATCTATTATGAAAAAGAAAGACACGGGTGTCCATGCAGGAGGTAACGGCACCAAAAAGAATCTTCAGTTTGTTGGGGTAAATGGTGGGTAAGCATCAATTAGAGAGATGAGATTTCCTTTTCATGTATAATGCTACCACTTCATTGATGCCAAATGGATAAGAAAGGTTTGCCATATTAAACATAGCCTCATTTATTCCTCCTCCATTCTAACCTTAAGGAGAGAGTCTGCTGTAAACCGACTACTGCCATGGTTATGTTTAGCAATGACTGGCTGTGGTCTTGTGGGAGTTTTAGTTTGGAATAAGTATTATTTCTATGCTGTGGGTTTAGAGTAACAGCCAGCTTTGTGATTCCCCAGCTTCTAACAGAGCTCATAGCACTTAGTGTCCAGTGAGGAAAGCAAGAGGGATTTAAGGCTGTGGGTTTAGAGTAACAGCCAGCTTTGAGATTCCCCAGCTTCTAACGGAGCTCATAGATCATGCTTCACCTGTCTTTGCTTTAAACCAAACAAGTTTCATAGTTTCTCCTTCTGACCGGTGCCGCATAAAGCCAGGGTTGAGAAGGCTGGGTGGATTTGCTTCACCATAGGCTCTATGGGCTCTAGATCCTCATTGCTGCTGGAACTCATATTTGTTAGGAATGGGGTACAACTTTCAGTTGGGCGCCTGCTATTTCCCATCCTGACAGGCAATAGGAGGGCGTAGTTGCCTCCACTAGCCCTTTTTACTCTCTGTCCTCAGTTTGGCCCTGATTGTGCTCACTGAGCCTGCAGAGCCTCCAGTCCAGGTCTGGGCTTGAGGTTGCAACCCTGATCCCAGCCAGCTAACGCCCCTTAAGGAAGGCAGTAATGCTGGGCTGATGGAGGTCCCCAAACCTCAGCAGCTTGTCTTGCTCCTGGAGGATTGGCCACAGCTGGTGGTTGTGCCCCTTCCTCTGCCAGTGCCACTTCTGCATCAGGGTTGGGGCTTGGTTGGGCACCTGTGCTATCAAGGTGATAGCCCAGATGGGGCAACAACTGCTGCTCTTTTGCCAGTTCTCCTGTTCATGAGTCCTGTGGCAGCAACGGTCAGTCTTTGTAGAGGGCACCAAAGAATGGAAGGGGCTTCTTGGAGGCTTCATCCCAGTCCTCCAACTCTGAGTCCAAAGGGGATGGTCTCCCCTTCTCCTCCCCCTTTAAACCTGGCTTCTGCCATCCAATCCCAGCTCCAGCCCAACCCTCCAGATATGACTCACCCACCTTTGGATTTTTTCCTGGTGTTCAGCTCCTGACGTCCATGCCCTTTGGTTGTCCATGCAGGGTGTCTCCAGGAACTAATTGGTTTTATCTACTATGCACAAGCACAAAGCTTGCATTGTTAGTTTTTTTTTCAGACAATCTGGTTGCTCCTTGGTCTTCAAGGGTACCTTGGTTGCTGTTCATTTTTTGCAATTTAGCTAATTATATTCCTTGTTACTAATACTTTACTTGTGAATTACTTTTTCATAGTAAAAATTACAAAAATGGCAAAAAGGAAATTCTTGAAAATGACTCTCCAGTGGTATTTTAGACATAAGCAAATGTTACTCATCCTCATTCAATTTAATTTTATAGGATATAGTGCCACAATTTCTGTTTCTCAATGAACCTTTTCTTCTGTCTTCATTTATAGCAACTGTTTTCAGAGAGGAAACCATGTAAACTTGTTTCAGCAAAAATGAAAAGCAAAAACAAAAATACTGTGGTACCTTTAAGACTAAAAAAAAATTTATTTCCCAGTGAGCATTTATTGGAATCCACTTTCAGATATGTGTGAAGACTTAGATTTTAAGAACTGAATTTCAGTGAATGCTCACATTGAAATACATTTCTTGGCCTTAAAGTGCCATTCTACATAATTTGGTTTTGCTTTACTTTACAATAATAGTAAGGAAAATAGATAAGGGGTGGAAGTTGTAAGTTGGCATTTGTAACCTAAATTGGGGATTTGTCCTCAGAGCCTGTTCTAAGTAATTTTAAAACCAATTAATGCAAATTACAACTTAAATTAGTATTCTCAAGAACATGATAGTGATCTGCAAAGTCAATTTGACCACGTCAGAAGTCCTGACCCATAAATCTATGCCACACTAAGAACTGTTTTAGTGTTTCATCTGCAAAAACAATTCCAAAAAGAGTCTACTATTAAAATTATATTGAAAAGTGCAGCTTGCTTCAAGAAGCAGTTTGAGATGATAATCCATGGAAGGAACTTACGGTATAAACACTAGTGGATCAAAGTGTGTTGATAACCAGTATGTACATCTACTCTTAATTGTTTTGTAAATACATGAATATTAGTAAAGAAATTTAATATCTAGATGGGAAAAGCTGTGGGGAATAAAATGAGTGAGAAATGTAATGGCTGATATTAATTTAAAAGACCATAGATCCTCATTTGGCTCTATTGTTAGGACAGCAAGATCATTCTCAGCAACTCACTGGGATTCTAGGATATCCAAACACTCCAGTCTACAAAGCCATGCAAGTGACCTGTGAGCAGCTGTGGCTGCTTTAACTGATCAGAACATTGTTGCTAGTTATTGTAGTAGTATTAGATTAGAGTTTGGAAGGGTTCCTTTTTGTACCACCAGTTCTAGAATGCCCTAGCCAGCAGGGCCAAGATTGTTCTCAGGGATTCTGAAAAATAGTTCAAAAAATAACTTTCAAAGCTCTGCTCTGGACCATGTAGAGGCTGGACTTCAAACATGCTGGAGGTTAGCTGAGACTGAATGAACTGGGGAGTCATTGGTGCAGCAAATTAGTGGACTGTTTGTTGAATTAATGGCTCGTATTTCCCAGAAAAAGAAAGCTTACATGCAAATATACTTTGCTTAATTGACTTTCTAAATGAAACAGAGGTACCAAAATAAGTGTTGTGTTTTAAAGATTAGAAAAGTGCAACTGTACAAGTTGAGATAGCAGCATTACTTTATTTATGTGTCACCAATATCAGTATTGACTGCCTATCTGGTCATATTGACCAGATAGGCGGGATATAAATAAATAAATAAATAAATAAATAAATAAATAAATAAATAAATAAATAAATAAATAAATAAATAAATATCAGCATTAAAGTGATATTTTAGTGATCTATGTTTAGTGATAATAACTGTATGCAGTCAAGTCAATTCTGATTTATGTCAAACCTTTCCAGGGTTTTCTAATTAGAGAGCACTCAGAAGTAATTTATCTTTCCCTTTTTGGGGGGATGCCCTGGGACTGAGCAGTTTGCCCAAGGCCACTTCTCCCTGGAGGCACAGTGTGGAATGTATCTCCCAGCCTCTTATTCCACAGGCAAATACCCAACTCACTGAGCTATCCAGCCAGGTCGCACTTAGATACCAGTGTAGAAATGACTACAGTTTTCCATTTAGGATGAGTGGTCACTGCATTCCATGAGTTCCCTTTTCTGGAAATTGTTATATGCCATCTCTAGGAATGAAACAAATTGTCTTATAAAAAGTTAAAACCTTTGATCCATCTAGCACAGTATTGTCATTACTGACTTGTAAGCAACTCTCTACTGTAGAGATTTTGCGCAAGCTGACTTGGAGATGCCAGAAATTACACCTGGGAAATCTTAATGCAAAGCATGGGCTCTTCTCTTATACCACAGCTTCTCCCAGAAACCATCACTTAGGAGACTGGAAAACACTATGAACAAACTCAAGTCAAACAGTGATAGTTAGCAAGCAAACATCCGAGAGACATAGATATTATTAAAGCCCTCGTCGCAAGAGGCCAGGGTCTTTCTGGTTACTTGCACATTTTGTCCATGAGCTTCCTTGCTTCTTGAGGAACTGAAAATTCTCTGGATTGCATAGGCCTTCTGTTCCAAATTTCAGTATATTTGGGCACTTTGGGGTCCACTAGTATTCTTTATAGTTCCTTAGTTGTTGAAAAAACAGTGGCAAAATTGAATTGTTAAATGCCTGATGTCCTCACTCAGTTATGAAACAACATCCAGTGAAGATTCAAGTTGTGAAGAGAGCTCCTCAGATGAAGATTCAGATAGTGAGACTGAGCGAAGGTGTGGCAGTGAAGAGCATAGATGGAGGGACGACGAGAAGGAAAGAGAACAGACTGCATCTGGAACATCCCTGGGTACAAGGCAAGAAGATACACATCTGGAAGAACTAGAGGGAAGCACACGAGCAATCATACAGCACAAGACAGAGAGGTGACTAAAACTTTGTATGAAAAAAGTAGAATTAGCATGTAGAGAGAACTGACAGTGGTTTCTGTTACATCCTGTTCTTTGATCTAATCATACAGGATGAAAGAAAGAATTATAAAGAATAAAGTGAGGACGAGGAGAGCCATGTAGGCTGCTTTAACTCATAAATCCAATAAATAATATTGAATAATATATGGCAGTATAATGTTACTATGGTTGTGCATGGCAACGCATCAACAAGAACTGATATAATAATTATTAGTTCTATTTAGACCATTACACTGGTACATGTATTTAAAGAAAATAGATTTAACTCCCTGAATTTTTAATATATTTCTAATTTATAAAATATGGGATACAATCATATGTATCTCTTTTTGAATTAATTGGACTGGCCTCTGGTATAGCGATACATCAAAATAGTAGTGAACACTGCATTCTGACAGACAACATTAGCAAGAAGAGAAGAGAAGAGAAGGCTATACATGGTGTATTCATCCTCTGAAAGGCTTGCACCCTTTTAGGCAATGCTATTACCTGGCAACTTAACAGTAAACCAGTCATTCTGTGGGAAGAGGCTTTCTCTAAAGGAAACATCTTCTGCTAGATGTGGCCAATGAATTTTCCATCCCTGCTCAAAACTAAGAGTGCATCATTTGCATGGAGGAATAGGACCTAAATTAAGCATGAAATAAATCACCCTTGAAAATATTGCAGGTGTGCTTAACTTGAGAGCTGGATTATGAGCAAAACCTTTGTAATACACTCCTTATAAGGAATTGCACAACCCATTAGCTTCTAGCAACAATCTTTCTGCATGGAGAGGATTCAATTTCATAGCTTACCTACCTCACAGAAAACTTCTTGAAGAGTAGTGGGGCATAGCTTCACTGTTCCCAATCTCCAGTTCTTGTGTATTTCTTACAGTAGATCAACAAAGATGTTTTTTTTTCAGATTCCAGCCCTCAGCCGATTTCCTGAAAGGATGCCAAATCTTAAGCAAACACCTACTAGAAATAAGGACCACAAAGGACAAGTTACTGGTACTGGTGTTTTTTCAGTTACATTTTAACCGCATGTTTCTTTTTTTAATTTCATATTACGAAATTAATAATCCAATATCAGCTATTATTGTTGAAGGTACCACTAACTGCTCATGATGATGTTGTGGTTAAATTGAAGATAGCTTTTTAAAACCTGAATTAATTAACAGGCATCAGAGTTGCAATTTTTTGGACTACAGCCCCCAGAAATCTGCAGGAATTCCCCTGGCCAGAATTCTGGGTGTTCCAGAAAAAAAAATCAAAGTCTTACCAGACCCCCATTGTGTTTTACAGCTGCCACAGCTAATCTCTGTGGGAGCTGTAAGATACAGTGGTGCCTCGACTTACAAACATTCTGACATACGACCCTTTCGACTTACGACCAGCTCTGGCCACAAAATTTTGCTTTGACTTGCGGCCGGAGCTTCCAGTTATGAACAGAAAAAGGCAGGGGGAAAAGGCAGGGAATTCAAATTGCTAACCATCGGTAGATGAAGAGGCTGCTTCTTTGTAGTTCTTTCACCCCAGCAGTTAGAGTGAGTACAATCGGAGGAGGCTTTGGACTGCTTGGTAAGGTAAGATGCTGTTTTCTGCTTTTTATTGTTCTGGGTGGGTTTTGCAGCGTGGTTTTGGGCTGGGTGATGGGATTATGTGTCTATGCTATGATGGTCTTGCAGGTTTTGTTTGTTATTTGGTGTTTTCCCCTCCATTTCTGATGGGTCTTGCGGGGTTTGTTTGCTTTTTGGGTCTTTTCCCCCATTTCCGATGGGTCTTGCATGGTTTGTTTGTTTTCTGCTTTGTTTTTTTTTTTTTGCATTTCCGATGGTTTGTTTGCTTTATGCTTTGCTCTTTTTTGCATTTCCAATGGGTCTTGCATGGTTTGTTTGATTTTCTTCCTCCCCCATTCAGCTGGAATGGATTAATCATGTTTCCTATGGGTCTTGCAATGGTTGTGTTTTTTGGGGGTGGGGGTGATTTGCTTGGTAAGGTAAGATGCTGTTTTCTGCTTTTTATTGTTCTGGGTGGGTTTTGCAGCGTGGTTTTGGGCTGGGTGATGGGATTATGTGTCTATGCTATGATGGTCTTGCAGGTTTTGTTTGTTATTTGGTGTTTTCCCCTCCATTTCTGATGGGTCTTGCGGGGTTTGTTTGCTTTTTGGGTCTTTTCCCCCATTTCCGATGGGTCTTGCATGGTTTGTTTGTTTTCTGCTTTGTTTTTTTTTTTTTGCATTTCCGATGGTTTGTTTGCTTTATGCTTTGCTCTTTTTTGCATTTCCAATGGGTCTTGCATGGTTTGTTTGATTTTCTTCCTCCCCCATTCAGCCGGAATGGATTAATCATGTTTCCTATGGGTCTTGCAATGGCTGTGGTTTTTTTGGGGGGGTGGGGATTTGTTTTCTTCGGCTGAAATGGATTAATTGCATTTCAATGCATTCCTATGGGAAATGGTGCTTTGACCATTTTGAGTTACGACTGGAGTTCCGGAACCAATTAAGTTCTTAAGTCGAGGCACCACTGTATAAGGGGGTCTGATAGTTTCCTGAGATAGATTTTGTATGGAATATAACAGTCAGGAAGACTACTAGAGCCCTCGTGCCTTGCAGCTCCCACAGAGATTAGCTCCACAGAGCCACTTCTTCCATCTTCATGAAGTTCCATCATGTCTGACACCATCTTTATTTCTCAGCTATAGGTGATTCAAAACCCTTGAAAGGACTTTGGTCTTTTTGTCTAAAACCAACATTTCTTGTTTCACTCACTTCTAATATTTATACACCATATCTTATTCTCATAGAAAATTCATATAAAGCTATTTATTAATCAAAATAAGTAATCTTGCTTTATTAAAACTAATAATTTTGTCATAGTAGACATGGAGGTCTGAGAGTTCCTAATATTCTGTTATAGGATGATGCATATCAGTTCAATAATTTAACTACAATTTTAAATAATAAGGGCGTGGAGGAATGGCTTCCATTAAAATGTGTTCCTAAGGATTTGAATGACATTAAAGATTCTCATTCAAAATATATAATTTGAGAGATGTAGGTCATATTTAAAGCCCCTTTTCAAGACAAAAGTGGCCTTCAAATGGAACAAATACATATTTAATACTTTTAAACTCAGAAGCTGGCATCATAAAAAATTAATTCCTATTTCTCCTTTAATTCCATTTTTGCATCATCCTTTGCATCATTGACAAATTTTGATAACAGCAATCCATCCTGCCATTTTTTAGAGCCGTCTCACTTCTTTTTGGCACAGGCCTAAGGGCTTCTGGGGTTTTTCTGGCATGGTTTGTAGTGTTCTTAATTAGCCTGTTCTGTAGTCCATGCAGATGGTTAGTTTGCACCAAAATAGACCTGTGTGTGATGTTATCTGAAGTGACATATTTGGTGGGTCAAGGCATTGAAAGAGATTATGGAAAAACTCCCCTACTTTATTTTCATATATTCTACCATTGTAAATGTTTTTAAAAATATTTTCCTATTGATGCAAGGCTATTCTAGATGTGTGAGATATATTGATAGTACTGTATTATATGTACTGTTCTAGGTAGATGCATTACTATTGTGCTATATCCTTTATTTTATTTAACAAAAAGGGGGGGAGTTGATGCAGCCTGTGGAATGATGGGTGAAAAAGGGCGGGAGGATGGGGGGACAAATTGGAGCAATCCAAAGAGCTGTCTGGACCCTTCTCATGGGAAAAGAAATGTCTTCCATGTGAATGAAAAGATCTTTACAGTGTAAGATAAAATAGATTGCACCAAGGATAAACACCTTTTAAGCACAAACCTGAGCACTCAAACTTCCCCCATCTAAGAGTCTATATTATTTGTAAGACCTTTTTCAAGGAAAGAATCCCAAAATGGTTATACAAATTAGAAATCAGCCAGAAGATATTAATCCCAGCTGGTTCCAACCTTTACAAACTACACATTTTACTGTCATTTCGCAAAGCATGTAAGTGTATTTCGGACCAAAGGCTCCAAAACTTGTGAATAACTCTTAGAAGCAGCAATAAAAATGAAACAAAAGGTGCAAATGAAATGTATAAAAGGTATCAGTCCAAGCAATATAAATGTTTTTCCAGATGGGGCATTTGTTCAAGTAAAAATATGGAGTTCTGCATTTATGTTATCGGTAATCTTCCTATTGTGCAAATAGTGTAAGGTGTGTCTGGCTTGGTTCGGTGCTCTTTTTATGACTTTCCATGCCTTTTTATTTCACTGACCTCTCTCAAAGAGAGCCATTTTTCCTAAAGAGAAAGGAAGTGGTTTTGTTTGGATACAAATGCCATGAAATATGCACAGCCATAGCACCAAATAGCAAGAATAAAATAAAATAAAATATGAATGGAGGTGTGGCAAATGCTGTGTCAGGAAGGACACTAAGACAGCAAGATCTCATTCATGCCCAGGAATCAAACTGAAAGCCTTTCCAACCTAGAGTGCTTTCATCCAGTGCCACTACTGTAAATTTGGTAATTAAAGTAACCTGGACAACTATAAGACTTCTCTAACTGGGTAAGCGTATCTGGCAAAATCCAAAGCAACAAAACAAAACACAAAAACATGTAGCACCTTAAAGACCAACTATTACATTTTAATTTGAGCTTTCGTGGATGAGTCCATGAAACTGGGTAAGGCTTCAAAAATCTGACCAGTTAGAGAAATTGACTGGGTGCTGTGTTCCTCTCTACTCCTTTCCATCTACAAAGGCTCAGTCAGAACAAAAAACACCCCTGCAGCACAAACAAAATAAAATCATTTTTTAAAATAGGAACTGTTTCCTATATCAATAGTTGCTATTTCTTTGGGCCTAAACTCAGCTGGCAGTCCCAGCCAGAGTATACTCATTGAATCAACTGCAGAATGGTGTTAATTGTGTTGATTCAACCTCAACTCTAATTAGGACCACAATTGGATATTGGCCTCAATCCCTGGAAAGTCCATTAAAGATACTGGGAATTGAATTAGAAGTCCAGAGCATTAAAATGTATTCATCCATTTGGAAGAACATCACTGGAGTAAGTCAAACGTTTGTCTTTTTTTTTTTTTAAAGAGACATGTTTTAAGCACCATCTGCCAAGAGTGGTTTCGAATCTCAAGCAGGAAATCCTCTAGCCCTGAAATTGTAGCAGCTTATCTTCAAGATGTAAAGGCCATTCATCCCCAGTTGCAGAATGTAATTGTAAATTTAGCTGATGGGAATGGCAATACAGCACTTCACTACAGTGTTTCTCACTCCAATTTTCGGATTGTGAAGCTTCTTTTAGAGACAGGTAAGAATTTCTATAATTGGTTTTCAAGGCTGATATTTATTTCCATTTGTTGAGCTTTCAGCCTTTTTATCTCCATTCTTACTGTAAAGCTTAGTATTTGTTTTCTTTTGATTTGTGTACCTCTTTCTTTTGACTGATCATTCTGTAGCGTATCTTCATTCTGCAATACAGCTCTCCTACTTTTAAAGTCTTACTTGCAATAAAATATGGGGTCCATCAAGAATCTGTTTATCTTTCTATTACTTTCCACTTGATTCCTTATTCATTGTAAACATTGACCAAAATCCTGCTGCACAGATGTTCAGAAGGTGAAACTTTTGGAGGCAAACTGCTATAAGTTAAGAAATCTCTGTATGCATTATTTGCTGCAAGCCAAATTGCAATTCATTTCCTAAACTGTGCAACACCATTTCCACCAGTGTCTTTATTTCAAGGTTTTTTTTATTACTTGTTCCCCTCTGGATCTTTAGCTTAAGGGCAAAACATAGAAATAGTTTATTGCAAACAAAAATTTATTTCTTTTATACTATAGGTACATTATACTTTAAACTGGATGAGAGATAACAATTTCTCTTATGATGCACCTGTAATTTTACTTACTTTTATAGTTTTACTAGTTCAAAAATTCTGACAGTGACAAATTGAAATTTGGTGCTTGGGGTCATAACTCCTAACTACCTAAGTTTTAAAAGTAGCTGTCTTAAGTTCTTTGTAGGAAACTATTCATATGACCAAGTAGGTATACAGTAGAGTCATTGGGGGTCAACCATCTGAGATATTAATTCACACTCGGGTATGTAAATATTCATTTACTTTATTCTCAATGGTGAGAACCATTTTTTTTTAAAAAAAAATCCCAGCTGCATGGGATTACAAACACTTTGTGCAATTTTAACACTTTTGGACTTTTTAAAAAAATTGTTAAATCCATACACACAAACTACTTATAAACCACAAGTTCCTCCCCTTTTGACTCACCTTATAATAGTTTCTACACAAAACACAATTATTTTTGCTAATACTGCTGATTTTTAATGCTAATCTTTTCTTTTGCATACACATGCAAATAATCTTGCAGTGGTTGACAGTTTTTTAGATGGGGCATCTTGATGTATCAAGATAGACTATAACCAAGAATTTATGAATATTTGTTACACCTTTATTTACATTATAAGTATCGAATACATCCTTGGAGTGTTTGATACATCCTTCTGTTTCTTGTTAGGTTGAAATATTTTGCTACTCATCCAAGCAGCTTCTTCAGTCTGAGGAGAGTTGGTAGGAAATCCCTGATATATTGTATCCTCTACCTTGGCTTCACTTTTCCCTGGTCTGAACAGGCTCAATAGAAGGACAAAGGAACGGAGGTGAGGGATAATCCCACTTCTGCAGTCCTTCTCCATCCATTGTCATGAATTGTTGATTTTGTTAACAGTGACCTTTCTTGTGTGTGTCCCTAATCCTTCTGGGGATGGATGAAAGGGCAGCAAGATAAATAGGAGACAGATTGTATCTAAGGCCTCCACCCCTGTTGAGTGAGGGATTTTCAGTATGCACATGTATGGCCTCACTGACCCCTCTCTCCAACCATTTATCTTCTGAGTCTAAAATGGGTGGAGAAGGACTGCAGAAGTGGAATTATCCCTCACCCCCATCCTTTGTCCTGCTAACGAGCCTATTCAGAGCAGGGGGAGGTGAAACCAACATGGAGGACATATCAGGGATCTCTTATGAACTCTCCTCAGACTGAAGAAGCTGCTTGGATGAGTAGTAAAACAGTTCAACCTAACAAGAAAAAAGTCCACTTTCCATGACTCAACTTCCAGATAACCACACCTGGATGACTGAGAATCTTCACAGATATATAAATACTCATGTGCACACAGAAAGCATAGTTACCACAAAAAGAGTGAATTGGCCTTCAGATAAAGATCAAGCTGATGGAAATATTTTTTATATTCACAGTAAGTAGTGCATAACTCTGTAATCAAGAATTGTGCCTTACAAGCCATTAAGACTACGTAACTAGGATTCAGCAATAAGATTTGCATTCCAAATGCTTGACCTGTTAGGTCAGATGTGAAACAGTGAAATGTCTTGGGAGATTTTTATCCAGTAAACATGCATGTATTTTCCAGCAAGAAGAAAGAGGCCCTTTGACTTCCTGGTTGGCATGACAACCTATAAAATGTTAGGCAAATGGCATATTATCATATTTATCCATAAATCAATTGTTTCATTAAGACTTCCAAGCTATTCCAGAAAATTGAAACAAAGTTGTTTTGTTCTCTTGATAAATGACTTCGGGCAATTTCATTCAAAAGCAGTGCACTGAAAACCAGTAGTAAATCCCAATTAAAATAGGCCCATTGAATCAGTGGGGATTTGGTGAGTCAACCCCTCTGTAAGTTTCATTAATTCAATGGGTCTACTCTAGTTGTGACTTGCTACTTTTGGCCATTGAGTTTAAATACTAACTCATGCCAAGTCTATGAAAGAAGAAAATTAATAGCATGCACTGAATGGCTAGTAGTGATGCAAACCACATGAATAATACACAGCAGTACCAGAAAACTCCCACAATATAAACCAACCAAAATAATTTGAATCCAGACTTAACCATACTTGGAGCTGATCCACATGTTTAATTGGAAACTAGAGATGGGCATGAATCCAAAAAATAGTGGTTTGTTTTGATTCATGATTCATCAAGGTGGACAAATCATGAATAATTAGTTTATGAATTTTTTTCTGACAAATCAATGAATCGATTTGCTGATTTGTTTTGCTTTTAAAAACCTGTAAAATCCCCCCCCTACGCACCTCGATACACTAAAATTGCAGGGAAGCTTCCCTTGATTCTCCTCTACAAGCCTCCCAATTTTGGTGAAGATTGGGTATCCAACATCTGAGGTATACATGCATAAAGTGGGTCCCTCCAGGAAAGTGCCCTTTAGCAGCTGGGGAAACTTAATCTTCATCAAACCTGGGGGGACTGTAGAGGAGAGTCAGGGGAAGTATCTCTGTGATTTTGGAGTCTCCAGGTGCCTAGGGGGCTCTTTGTGGATATATACTCAGACATCCAAGACCCAATCTTCACCAAATTGGGAGGGTTGGGAAGGAGAGCCAGGAGAAGGTTCTCTGCAATTTTGGTGTCTATAGATTTCTGGGGGGGGGGGGAGGCTTTTATAGACCAATGGACTGAAAAATTAAAAAAATTGCTAAGAATTCATTGATTAGTATTTGTCAGGGAGGAATATAAATATGAATAAATGAATTAGCGATTTTGAAATAAATTTTTAATTCATTATTTCATGCCCATCTCCATTAGAAACCTATTGATTTCAGCTTGTATTAAGTATGGTTGTCTGCATATAACACAATAAGTATCTCCTTTTATTCTACCAAATAAGAAAGTTTAATTTCTGCTTATCCCTGCATATTGTTGCACCCATAGAGTACAGAATTATGTGCATATAAAATTAGGTTTCACTGATACATAAGGTACTTCGAGCAGTCCTCCTCATACACAGTCTTGGATTGTATGTATGTCACTGTATTTCTCTAGGGAACTGTGCGCTGTCATGATTTCTGCTGACAAGAAGTTATAATAAGCTTTATAATAGTGCTAAAATTTATTAGGCTGAATATGTTTGTGGTTAACAGGACAGTCCAAAAATGAGATTAGAGAGGGAAGAAATGGTGGATCTGCCATGACATACAAATCCCTGCTTACTCACATCAGCAAGGACAGAAGGCCGGGAAGTAGTGGACTGGGGTTTCTTTCTTTTTAAAAAATCTTAGCAGTATAAAATAAAATGTACGGTAGATAATTCTAGCAGTTCGAGGCTGGATTACTTGAAGGGCTTAGTTCTGAAACCCTCTGGGAGATCAGAAAAGCTTTGCGTCTGGTGGATCTTTTGGGCCTTCTGTCAGTTAACTGCTGCTGAAAAGACTACTGACAGTGGTGTCACACCAGGTGACCCCATTGGAAGTATAGTGGTAGAGCCCTCTCTACTCCATCTAGCAGACCCAGTAATGTCCACATGCAGAGCCTGGTGGCAGAACTCTGCCATCTAAGTCTCACCCTCTCCAAACTATATCTAGAGGTTAGGAGACATGCTGTTCTAAGTCCAACCTAGGGGATATAAGCATAAATATTACCTAATCCAATAAAAATATTGACTTTCTTTTTTTGTTTCCCTAACGCCTACATGAAAAAAATGTTCTCCTTTTTTAAGGTGTTTGTGACGTGGACCATCAAAATAAGGCTGGCTATACAGCAGTGATGATCACACCACTAGCATCGGCAGAGACGGATGAAGAAATGGAAGTAGTCAAAAAGCTGTTGAAAGAAGGCAATGTTAACATAAGGGCAAGCCAGGTATAAAACAAATCCAATACTACAAAAATATATATTGTTTAAAAATATATGTGAATGAGAATACTTTTTTGTCTGATCCTGAAAACCCAAAATTATTGCATATGCGTGATCACCTTGGAACATTGGCGTTTCGTTAACATAAGCAAAAATCCCCGGTGTTTACAGTACTCTTTCTGTATTAAGAATAAATACCCCAACTGATCTTTTGGGAGTGGTAAGAGTGGACTCTACAGACAATGGTGACCTAGTTCAGTGAGATGAATCCAGTATGAGCACCGCCCCCTAGAGTCGAACACGACTGGACAAAAATTGTCAAGGGGAACCTTTACCTTTACCTTTTAAGAGTTGACTCTACAGACAATGGCATTGGTGACCTAGTTCAGTGAGATGAATCTAGTGCTGCTGTTCTGCTATCACAATGTCAGATCTAATATTTTGATTTCATTTGCACAAAATGGCCTAGTCCTATTGCTGGTATGTCTTAAATAGCATAACTCTTGACACTGAATTGCTAAAAGTTACAAAGTCAGTGTAGACATCTGTTGCACACTGAGTCAGGGCACAACAAATAGTGTCTACACTGATTTTGTAACCTGCAGCAATTCAGTACCAAAAATAATGCCTTTTGAATTGTGCTAATGATAGGATTTTGGCCACTATAGAACAAGACATTCAGCAAGCTGTTGAGTAACCACTAATGATTTCACTGGGCTGTGTGCTTGCTTGATCAGTTGAGCTAGCTGTTCCACTAGACATTTCTTCTGCTGTTACTGCTCTGCAGAAAAGAAGTGAAGGAAGGGCTGGGAGGTGATTTAGCACCCGGAAACCAAGGAGGATGTGTGTAATGAGTTAACAGAGAACTGATGAGATTCTAAATCCATGTAAATATATAGCATTTGTAGTGCTAACTATATTGAACAGTGTTGTGAATTGTACAGATTTATAGGGTTTAACAGAATTGCTGCCTTGTTCAAGATTAAAATAGAAGATTGCATTCTATGGGGATGGGGTGGGCAGGGGAATCTACCATACACTTTGAGCTTACCTTACATTTCTGTCTTAGAATGGTTATATGACATCAGTGGGCAAAACTGGAACTTATTCTGAGCTTTTCACTTCCTCTAATAATATTCAGTAAATGTGCTTTTTGGAGTCTCATCTTACTTTAGAGTGTAAAGGGTTTTAAACATGCAGGCCCCCCCAGAGGATAGTTTGTGGCCCTCGCCTTGCCTGCCCCCCCCAAAGTGCCCACACATCCTCTTCTGTCAAGAGTAAAAAAAAGCCTTGCCTCGCTCGCCGGCTCTCTCCCAAGACAGCACCTCTTGCACCCTACATCCAAAACTGCAGCCTGCCAGCCAGCCGGCCTGTCTGCCGGCTAAGGAAACTCCTGGGCAGCTTCCTTGGGCTCTTGCTCCGCTTGGCGGAAAATCTGATGCGGCCCAGCCTCACCCAGACTCTGCCTCCAGCGGCCCCCAGATAAATTGAGTTTAAAACCCCTGCTTTAGACTATGCAAAAAGTGGTTTTGTGCAAGCTCAGACTATAACACAGAACTATAAGAAACCAGAGTGCAGAATCTGTTCATTGATTTCCTTTTATCCCTCACCATTTGTAGCATCTTCCTCTTTAAAAAGTCTATTTCTTGATATGGGTACTCCGAAGAGAGCCAGAAGTCTAAGAGATTGTCAGCAAATACTGATCATGTTGTTCTTGTTATTGGAATTTTCTAGGGAGGACAGACTGCCTTAATTCTGGGAGTGAGCCATGATAGGGAAGATATGGTGAAAGCCCTGTTGTCTTGTGACGCTGATATAAACCTCCAGGATGATTCTGGTTTGTCGCCACTAATGGTTGCTTCCCAGTACGGTAACATTGAGATAGTGAAGCTTCTTTTGGCCCATCCAGGCTGTGATACTACTTTAACTGACAAGGTGAGACAAACATGTACCTGAAAAAGCACCTTCTTCCACTTCTTCCTCCCTATATACCTCTGTCATTTGAGACCTTATTTCAGATTATCTGACCCCGGGGATTCTAACTGGTGGTAACTAGAAGCAGGACTTTTTCAGTAATTTCACCTTGCATCTACTGTCCATATACGCAATGGCCATGCAGGCTGGGCTGTTCAAAAAGCTGTAGTCCAAAAAAGTAACTTTTCTCCTTTTTGACCATGTCTAACGTCCTGCTAGCTCACATCTGCTGGGTCTTACTTCATCGTTTTCATCCGCTACTGTAAATGAGATCATTTTAATAGTCCTTTGGTCAGAAACCCTTTATGCTTATTTTGATGCCATTGTAATATTTAACTGCTATTCTCCTGTATTGTTTTTGTTAGCATTTCATCAATATTTGTGATTTTTTGAGTAGGCAGGTGGTTTAAATTATTATATTATACTTTCCTTTCATGTTTAGTTGTTTGAAATTCTTTCAGGAATCTTTGAAAACGAGGGTGAAATGTAAGTTTTTTTTAAAAAATAAAAATAAATATATGCAATCTAGTAGAATTGCCAGGATTTACCATTTTAGTCAACATTAAAAGTTAAGTTAAACATTGCCCAAAATGGAATTCTTTGTAAAAGCTTGGAACCAATAATATGGGTTTTCCCCTCCTGCATTGCAAGCTATGTTGCAGAAAACTATCTTATTCCTGTGGGATGTGCTGCTGACTGCCAGTTTTGCTTGGCCATGACCATAAATACAATATGAAAGGAATATAGGAGGAATCAGGATCATATAAGTAACATAATGAACCTTACCAGGTGGTGTGTGAACAATTGTTTCCAGATTGTGGCCCTTTTCAAATGTGCCAGGGCCCCCAGAGGCCCATATGGCCCTGTTAAGAATGCCTGGTGTAGAGAGCTGCATAAATTGGCTGTAATCCTCTTGCTTACCATAGTAAGTCACAACTAGAGTAGGCTCATTTGAATCAATGAAATGTATAAAGAAACTAACAAAATTCCCACTGATTCAATGGGCCCAGTCTAGTTGTAATTACTATGCTTAGCAACAGGATTTCAGCCCTTGTATTGTTTTTATATGTACTTATTTTGTACTTATTAATGTACTTATTAATAATAGGTACATACTTTTATATGTACTTTGTTCACAGTTACACTGCATTATGCATTTTAGAGATGTAGTATATGTAGACAAGCCACTAAACTTCTGTTCGTAATAATAAAATTTGCATGGTGCTGTGTGATATTTAGCAAAACGAAGCATTCTTGAAAATTATTTATGCCATTACTGTAAAATTGCAGAACGTATGATACTGTGGGTTAAATCCCATTGCTTAGTGTAGTAAGTTGCAACGAGACTAGGCCTACCGAATCAGTGGTGATTGGGTGAGCCAATTTCTTTGTAAATTCTGTTAATTCCAAAGTGCTTATACTCTAGCTGTGATTTACTACACTATGCAACAGGATTTCAGCCAATGAGATTAAAGTATATTTATACATGCTTTGATCTGGATAAATGGATTTCAAATAGGATCTCCTGAATCATTTCAGTTTATGGTTCCTGTTTCATTTTTCTTACAAACCTGGCAGAAATTAACTACTTCCCTAATTCTCCTGTTATATTTATTTTGTTTGGATGTGTTTGTTATCTACTTTGAAAAGACCACATATGGAGAGCACTTCACTAATATGAATAGGTTCTTCAACAATTGTAATAACAGTAAGAATGTTTTGTGAAATAGGCTTTTTATTCCCATATTTTTAAGGTTTCTCATATTTTTATGTCTGAAATTCTATTGCCAGGGTCTAGGTTTCACATAGCATCTACTCTTAGGCAACTTCTGACCTGAATGCCTACCCATGGATTTATTTGCTGCTCAGTCCATGAGCTCCCCTCCCATCTACTACTTAGACCACTCCAGAACTTCCTTTCTTCTGTATTAGCAAGATTTCTCTATTTGCTTCACAGTTTTTTTTTAAACGAGGCTGCATAGTTACTTATGGGATGTTATTTTAAATACTAAAAGAACTGTGGATAGTAGAGGAAGTCACAGTCAGAACCTAGCATATGACTTTCGTACAGTACATTGCTCTTGAGTTGTCCTGGTGTGGGGCCAGTTTCACTCAGATGAACAGTATCCCAGGTAGAGTAAATATGCATCTCCATCTCTTTTCATTGTTTACATTACAGTAAGGAAGGTTTACATGTGCTGGCAGAAGTGACATAACATGATATAATTAATTTGATCCAGATGAACCTTATCAAGCTTTCTGAAACTGCCTGATTTTTAAGTAGTATTTTGACCCAAACAAATCTAAGACAAAGCCATGTAACATGCCTTTACTTGCACAGGCAGTGGTGCAGCTGGAAACCATCTGCTCTCCTCCAACGAAGATTTCATGTTTATTCTCTGTGAGATGTAGGGCCTGCATCATTAAAGAGCAATCTATTCTGTTCTCTTGGCAAAAGACTTGTGTTTTGTTTTCTTTTTTTTAATGTGGCTGATTTTGTGTTCTATGATTGCTCTATTAAAAATGGAATCAACAGAGTAAGACGAGATTATTTCCAATACAGTATTTTAAACACCTAGTCTACAATGCTATCATTGAAAGATACTGATACTTAATAGCTACCTACTCTTACAGACTCCGCTGTGAAATCCTCATGATCATGCCTGCCAGTAGCATCTTCATAGCAGTTACTATTGTTGTTCTTTTTTATTTATTTTTTTGAAACATTGTTCTTATAAATATGGGGATATATTCTCTCCCTTTTAGGTGTGAGTCCACTCTCTGGGAAAAGTAGAGAGCCCGAGTGCTGGAATAATAATGATTAGAGATGGGGATGAATAAAATAATGGCAGTTCATTTTGATCCATTATTCATCAAGGTTAACGGATCAACAAATATGAATACACGAATATTCTTTGATGACTTGATGAATCTGTTGATTCATCTGCACTTTAAATGGCTATAACACTGGCCTCTGATGACTTAGAGACACCAAATTTGCAGGGCTGCTTCCTCACATGCTTTTGTACAACTTCTGAAAGTTCAGTGAACATTGGATCATGGACCCCCATGTTATATAGTCACAAAGAGGGCCCCCAAGGAAAGCTCCCTCCAGGTACTTAGAGAATCCAGAATCACAACGGAGCTTCCCATGTTTTTCCCCAATATGCCTGCCAAGTTTAGTGAAGATTGGATATTGGAACTCCCAAGTTTTTCACCCACAAATTGAGTCCCCCCCCCAGGACATGGCACAGAAGCCCATGGTATTGAGGGAGTTATATTTAGCCCCAGCAGAATGAGAGGTCCCTTTGGCAGAGGCATGCATGAGGCATGGAGTTTGTCTTCAGCTCAACACAACATTACATTTGCCAGTGAAGTAGAGTTTGCCCTCAGGAGGACTAGAGGCAAGGAGGTATTTGGCAGCATAGCAGGCGTTTTGGCTCTGTCAGGCACTGAGGAAGTTGGCAGCATGAAAACAGGCTCTTTTGGCCATCGGGCACTGAGGGAAAAGGCAGCAGGAAAGCAGGCTTTTTGGCCTCATCAGGGCACTGAGGGAAAAGGCAGCAGAGCAGACTCTGGTCTTCTTCAGCAACATCACATTTGCCTGCAAAGGAAAGGTTTTTGCCCCCAAGAGGCAACTGAGGTTGCTTGCAACTTCCAACAGCACCAGCAGCACCATCAGATGAACAGAGGCAGTGCTACTAACAGTGGTTAATCCACGGGGCCGCGGGACTGTTGGAAACAGATCAGCTCTGCAATCTGAAGTCGTGCGACGGGGCGAGAAAGATGCTCATTTAGAACTAGAAAGCTGGGGATTGTTTGCAACTTGGCTGCTGAGACCACCCAGATATGATAAAGCTAGCCCTTGGAGGTTTAGGGGGGCTTAGACAGGCTGGCCCCCTTGGCATGGGTTGAAAACCAGACAAGCTCTGCCATCTGATGCCGGGTGATGGGGCCACACCCGGACAGGCTTTGGGTGGGGCAGAGCAGACAGACCTTTTGGAATGTAGCCCAAGTGGAAGGAGCTGCAGGATTAGGAAATTGTTCAAATGGCCAGCAACGTTGTTGACTTTTTGCCTCATCAGGCACTGAGGAAGTTCTCAGCCGGAAAGCAGGCTTTTTGGGCCCATCGGGGCACTGAGGCAAATGGCAGTCGCAGGAGACTCTGGTCTTCTTCTTCTGCAACATCACATTTGCCTGCAAAGTTACTTACGTTTGTCCCCAGGAGGCAACTGAGGTTGTCAAAGCAGCAGCAACAGCAGGATAACAGGGTCCAACTGCAAGGTGCTACTAATGGTGGTTAATCAGAGTGGCCGCTGGGCTTCTTGAGCGGAAGATCAGCAGTTCGAATCCATGCAATGGGGTGATCTGAGCTCTTGTCCCTTGTTCCTGCTTCTGCCTACCTACTGAGTTAAACTGCTGCTGAGCCAGTAGGCAGTTTGAATCCATGAGCTCCTGTGGCTTGTCCCAGATTTTGCCAATCTAAACAGGCAGTAGCCCGAGAGGACTTTGGAGCACTGTGTTGGCATGGGACAGCCAGACAGCCATTGGGTGGGGCAAAGCTGAGCTCTCTTGGCACGGGGATGCCCGGACAGTCTTGGGGGGAGAGGAAAAGGAAGAGGCAGAGGGAAAAGGGCTTGAGCACCTCCAGCATCTGAGAGAGGGCCAGCCAATCCATGGCACTGAGGCCCATCTCTCCCCCCCCAGGCAGAATGGGCATGGAGGACATGTTGTCCTCTAAAACAGCCTTCTACTCCACCAGGTGGGACACCATGGTGTAGGTGGATTTCCACCTGGTGGGCAGGTCTGTCAGGAGAACATGGATCTCCTGACCCAACTTCTTTTGCTTCTCACGCAGGTAGCAGGCAGCTTTCAGGCTGTGGGAGAAGTGCCTCACCAGTTGGCGGCATTGCTCCAGGACTGTCCGTGTCTCCTGGGTGCCTGCGTCCCACTCGGGTTTGACATGGCTGCCCAGGCCAAGGGCATTGCACACCACAAAGTGTAATTTATGCGCCATGCATACAATGCCCTCAAAGCCCGCTGCCTCCAATGCCGCCAACATTTTCCGCCCAGCATCTGTGACCATGTGACCTTGGGTCACCTCCCCCTTCAGGACAAGAACTCATTGGCGATGTTCCTCCCTGTTGCCTGAGTTTCCATGTGCCATGCCTGCTGCAGAACGGACCTGGAGCCTGGGGGCAGGGCAAGGGCCTCCCCCTGCGGCCCTGTCGCTGATACCCTGCCACTCCTCAAATCCTCTGGCTCCCAGCAGTGAGCTGTGAGCAAGGGGTAGCCATGCTGACCTCTGCTGCACAGGTCCACTGTGGAGTGCACCTTGTGCCCCTGTAGCCATGAAAAATGGTCACAGACCACCTCCCACAGAGAGTCATAAAGTGAGAGCAGCACTCTAGAACTGAGAGTTCTCTGTGAGGGGAGGTCATACCAGGGGGCAAAAAAAATATGCAGCAACCGGCGGAAGGCTTGGGATTCTACAATGGACAGTGGAAGTCCAAGCAGAGCAATCTTCTCGGTGACAAGTGGCTGCCTGCTGGGCCTTGCCCTTTGACTGCTGGCTGAGGGTCATGGCGGACCCAATGGGTGGCACTTCGTGGAGAGTGACCTGCCTCATGCTCCCAGCCCCAGAAAGTTCCTGTGGCTGCCCTTTTGAAAGGAGGCACCTCCTCCTGCCTCCCTTCTGCCTCCCCTGGAGCTGCTCTTTTCCCTCTCCCAGACGGCACAGACGAAGTGCCTTCCCTGGACAGGAGCCTTGGGTGGTGCCTCTCCAGAGGTCGGCGGAGGGCAGTGAAGGACAGATGCCTGGGGTCTGGCCCCCTAAGACCACCCCAAGGCAAGTATTGCAGCATGACAGCCGTGGGTCATTGCTAAGTGCCGTGAAATGATCCCACACGGCCCCTCTGCCATGTTTGCCCAAACAAGGAGCCACTGCCTGCCCCTGACTGCTGGCCTGGGAAGAACTCTGTGTCCCTGGGGTGCTGCTGGTCTGGGAGGAGGGAGCAGTTGACTCTGGGGACAGGGGTGGGTTGGGGCAGAACCAGTAACGGTAGCCTGCCCTGCCGTTACTGGTTCCAAATTGGACTGGGGGTCTTCAGAAACCAGTAACTCCTCAGATTCCTCTAGAAAGAGGAGCAGCAGTTCTTTTGGCACCTCTGGAAGCTTTGGTTCCCTGCCTGCCTGCAAGGCCACCGGAGGAGGGACAGTGGCAGCACTGTTGGTTATCGTAGACGTGGTGGTCGTGGTGACGGTGCTGCTACCTAGCCTGCATAGCTTCACAGTCTTCTTCCCCTTGGATTGCCCCTGAAGAAATCCTTTCATTTTCTACTGCCTGCTTAACAAACCAATTAGACAAATAACGCAATGGAGATTGAGGAAGGAAACTAACAGAGGGTCAGAGAGTGTGTGTAAATTTTATTTTTAGTATGATGATGGTGTAATTCTTTTATTAAAATGGGACCTGCCTGCCTAAACAAAGCCCCCTTCAGTATAATGTAATCAGGAAAATTTGCCCCCCAACCCACTGTGGCAGAGAAGCCAAAAAAGTCCAAAAAGAAAAGTCCCGCCAGCTAAGTCACAGTCTCTCTCTCTCTCTCTCTCTCTCTCTCTCTCTCTCTCTCTCTCTCTGTGTGTGT